GTTTACTTCTTTATATTTTGATCCCACTTAAAAAAATTCTGACTCCGACGTGGATAAAACCTAAGCTACTATAGCTACAAGAATTTGATTGCTTAACAAAGCATTAAACTTATATTAACGATATCCTTCACACTAATGTATCACACGTGTCCATCACTTATGGTCAGTGGAGAATTTTGTGGAAATGTAACCACTTATTGAATGACAAATCTAAAAATTTAGCCTATGTAAGACTGATATTTACCCTAGCTAGGGGACTGGTAATTGGATCAGATTGTTGGGAAAATGGGGAACAAATGAGAAGTATAATTGGCATCCACAAAAGTGTCTGGGGGAAGGAGGATAGACTTTGTTCCCATTTGGAAAGAAAAATTTTATTTTGTGTCTCTTACACTAGTTATATAAGGTAATTTTTTTGTCTTACAGTTTTGTGGATTCAGATTTCTGTAGACCCAGAAGTGTAAGATTGGGGTCCACAAATTTATGAGACAAAAAGGAGCCTCATACAACTAGTGTAAGTTGCATAAGACACAAAATAAAACTTCTCCATTTGGAATGTTAATCTTGATTGCGACAGCAGCACCAAAATACATTCTTAACAGAAATATATTTTAAGTTCCTACACCTAAAAAATATGGGTACTCAAGTAGATTTTTTCCTCAAACAATGATGCCTGACGAGAATAAAAGCTTATTTTTATTTGATATTTATATTAAATTAATTATAATGATGATATAAGGTGAAAACGTGTAGAGTAGTTAGTAATAATGATGTATGTAAAACCACATATTTACTTATGTATTTATTGAAATATTACAAATAGTAGATGTGGATAATTTTTTTGCTCATGAAAACTTACTTTACATCGGGAAGCTTATGAAATAGTGATATATTAGAATCTTAATAATTTCATGGACTACATATGGTCACTTAACTATGAGCACCACAAAATAACTTGGCCGAATTTGTCCATGTTCCGCCTACCAGAAGCTGATGTGGCATTATATATTAGCCCACATGGAATTGAGTAATATACAGAAAAGGCAGTTCATAGCACAAATAAATTTGCATTTATCTAGGGTTCGGAATAGAACCGCATCCATATGAGTGTGATATAGACAGACTAGGAATTAAGTGATATCAAAATTAAAAATAAATCCGACCCACAACAACATGATTTAATCTAGAAGACCTGGGGCCCTCCTTACTTTATAAGAGCAACTAAATCCAAAATAGCCGCCCACCTAAGTGCTTAAATTAAAAATAATAGATTAATATATATATATATATATATAGTTGGTCCAAGTAAAGGTTAGTTTTGAAGATTGACAAAGGAACTCAGACATGAACCAGGTTCATTCTAGTGGAGCACAGATATGTATAGACTTAAGCATGTGAGATGCACATAAAGGAGATGAATTTAACTTGAAAGAAGTAATATATCTTGATCATGATCGAAAATGTTGCATATTGGATAAGGAGAAGGACTCCTTACTCAAAGAGAACACGGTTTGAGAAGGATGGAGTTAGATGTTGAGATCAACTAGAACTCTTCCACCAAGGAAGAGTAGCATCAGAATTCTAGTCAATCTTTATTTATTAACTCTATAAATATCAATGTTGTCCTCTTTTACAGGTAACGCACATAAGCAGAAGTTAAATGTGAATTGAGAGCAAAATAGCAAGGCAATTTGTGTGTGATTCAAGCGTGCAAACCTGAAGCTACTTGAACCAGATAGAAGAACCAGTTCCAAGTGTCTGCCTTTTATTCTAGTTCAATTGTAGTAGGCGTTTTCATATTGTACCTTTCAACTTTATTTAGAAGTAATTGTATTAGATACTCAGAGTTTTCAAGTTAGAGTTAACTTGAAGTTGTGGCAACAGTTAAGGCTGTGTGCTACAACGGGATTAGAGTTAGTCCTAGGTTTACAAAAGAGTTTTTGTAAATGCAATTTTTGGCTCAGTGATTTTAGTGGAGAGTTTGGGAAAATCTTACTAGAAAGTAGGTCGTGATTTTTTCACCTTTTGAGCAAGGTGTTTTCCACGTAAAATCTTTGTGTTCTTTAATTTCCGTACTTATTATTTCGCAACAGTAGTAGTTGGAACACATAGAAGAATCAGGTCCTTCCATAATCAATTTAAGCGAACAATTGGACACCACACAAATCATCCCTCTCTTGTGTGGTATTGAAGTACAAAATATCATATATGTATAACGAAGTATAATTAGTTTGTAGTTTTTATATATTGACTAGAAAATAAAAACAGTGAATCCGATCGACTATTCATATAGAGATCCCGTTTATAAAAAGGGAAATTTTCGTTCCTATACCATATAAGAAACTATATTACCAAATATGTTCATAGTTTACATATTACCCGGCATGCTAATAGTATTTCTACAAAATATAGACAATTCATTAAATAAGGAATCATTGTAGCTGTAGGCTTCCTTATTTAGGGGCGTTAATATTGGAGAATTAAATATTCTTCCAGATACTTGACCACCTCACTCACGTATCAAACCACACCCCACGATTTCCTCTTCAATCACCCACGGTTTCCTCTTCTAAAACCAGCGAAAATCTGTAACCCCTCCATCATTGACAACCATTAAAAAGCTTTGTAGTTTTGAATTCGAATTTGGATTTTTAAAAGACATTTGTTTGTTTGGATTGGATGTTGTTGCAAAGAATTGAGAATTCTCTCTACGTCTCTCTCTATCTCTCAATCCCAAATTTCAGTAATACAAAGCAAAGGAAAAGAGAGCAGCAATTCCACCATTGACAGCCATTAAAAAGATTTGAATTCAAATTTGGATTTTCAAAAATCATTATTTGTTTGGATTGGGTGTTGTTGAAAATATTTGGGAATATAGTTTGGAATTTATTTCTCAATTTTGAGAGGTTTTGGTGAAGATTAGACTTGGTTTTGGCTGAATTTCAGATTGAAACTCGACGACGACGACGACGACGACGAAGAAGAAGAAGAAGAAGAAGAAGAAGAAGAAGAAGAAGAAGAAGAAGACATGACATACATTATATTGCAGAAATTGTAGACTGTTGTTTATTTATTTTTCTTTTATTCATTTACCTATTGTATGAAAGTTGAACAACATTGTATAAAAATTATATTTAAGTGATATTATATTATAGTTGCATAAAACTTAGTAGAAATAATGTACGAAAATTGTAGATAAGTTATATAATATACAATTAGTTGTATGAAATTTATTTTTACTACGTATAAATCAGATACAAAATATACAAAAGAGATATTGTATAAATTTTGTATAAAATTTGTATGTAAGTTTTATGTTATTGTAGTTGTATTTAACTGGGTGGAAATAGTGTGTAAAAGTTGTAAAAAATTGTAGATAAGTTGTATTCCTCTATAACGGAAGATGTTGGTATATCAAGTAACTTTAGTGTTCCAGATGAACATGCATGAAAATAAAGATAAATTCTGTTATGAACAGTTTGTAGAAATTTTGTAGATAATTTGTAGAAACATTGAAATTCTGTATTTTCATATTAATTTTTCAAATGATATGTAATTTTATTGTAGAATAAATGTAAAAATTTTGTAGATATTGTGAAAATCCATACTGATATACGTCATAGTTAAATGAATAAAAGAATACAATTTTATGGTAGTAAATTGTGCATCCACACCTCATGCTCAGTTCTGCAAAGTCAAGAAGACATTTTGTGCATCCGCACTCAACTCACGTAACTTTACAAATCCACAAGCAACTAGAAAATTAGTCATGTGCCTCACTTTACTTTACAATCCTCGAGCAACTAAATAAATGGTCATGTGCCTGGCTTTTGACTATAGCAACTTGATCAATAGATGAAGCACAACCTAATTTCAATTCCTCAATTCTGTATCCCCGAAAACAAGTCATTGTGAGTCTTATTTGACTCATTCCTCACATTCAACCTATTCTACAAATTTACGCCTCTTTAAATACAATACAACCATACTTTCTTGAATTTAAAGGTATAGCAATATATATAACTTAAAAAACATCTTCTCCTCTACACAAGTTAGCTCCAAAACAGACGAAGTGGAATAACAAGCTACCATCAAAACTTTTAATACAAAAGCACAAAGCTCAAAAATAAATAAACAACAGAATACATCTTTTCTACAAATTTTCTATAATTTTTGCAATATAATGTTTGTCATGTCTTCTTCTTCTTTTTCTTCGAGTTTCAATCTGAAATTCAGCCAAAACCAAGTCTAATCTTCACCAAAACCCTTCAAAATTGAGATATAAACTCCAAACCATATTCCTAATTATTTGCAACAACACCCAATCCAAACAAATAATGATTTTTGAAAATCCAAATTCGAATTCAAAGCTTTTTAATGGTTGTCAATGGTGGAATTGCTGCTCTATTTTCCTTTCCTCTCATATTACTAAAATTTGGGATTGAGAGATAGGGAGAGACGTAGAGAGAATTCTCAATTCTTTGCAACAATATTCAATCCAAACAAACAATATTTTTTGAAAACCCAAATTCGAATTCAAAATTTCAAAGTTTTTTAATGGTTGTTAGTGGTGGAAGGGTTACAAATTTTCGCTGGTTTTAGAAGAGGAAATTGTGGGTGATTGAAGAGGAAATCGTGGGGATTTGGAGAGAGAAACTTGGGGGAGTGGGAATATTAAGGTTGAGTAAAATTAGGAGACTAATTAATACCATTAAAATCCTAAAATGGTACATAAATGGTAATTAGGTATATAAAAAGTAATTATATTAAAAGTTAAGCATGGAGGGTAATATAGTTTATATATGGCATATGAATGTAAAAATTCTTTATAAAAATGACATCATCCCCTTCCGTCGTTCTCAAACATCCTCGATAACATTGGCACAAGTACAAATTGGGTTTAGGATCCAAAACAAATGGGCCTTAACAGTTCTAAACACCAGTAAATTAGCCGGCCCAAATTTGATTCAATTCAGCTAAATAAACCCCAGAAAAGAAATCTTCAGTTTCCCTCTTTTCTACCCACCTACAGCAAAAAAGATTCGAATTTGCAGCAGCCATTAAAGATGGGTGGGAGAGGAAGGTCTCGAACTCAAAGAAAACACTTTCGACAGAACAGAGAAAATGTTTGGAAACGCAGCAAACATGATGAAGACAACAATGTTACTACTACAAATGATGACAACAACAAAGAACAACAACCTAGTAATAAAACCCATTGGGAACCATTTGCCACTCAAAATCTTGCCTTTGACGAGTATTATAAGGTAATTAGTTTTATCTTTTTGGTTGGGATGTGGCACAATGGAATCAATGCAGACTTAGCTAAACATAAGGCAAAAAGATCCATAATTTCTACTAATTGGGAATATGTTTTTAGCCTTGTTAGAGAACTTCTAATATTATTATTTTTGTTATTATTACTATTATTTATATATATTGAACTTATTTGTCAGCTTTATTTTTGTTTGGTATGATGACGGCATGAGTTGAGCTTAAATGGAGAAGTGAGGATTCATTAGCCGACCCCAACTTGTTTGGGATTGAGGCCTAGTTGTTGTTGCAGTTGCTATTGATCAAGAAGGAAATCCAAAAGGAACTTGAACTTTTGGTGCAATCGCCTGGGAATTGAGAGAATTAAATTTTACTAAAATAATTTCATTAGCTCCCGAGGTATTATAATGAAATTGTGATACGCTTCTAGTGGGGTATTTGAAAGAAATAGATTAATTAGTAGATTGTTTCTCACACATATATATTTAATAATTCATATCATATTCAAAAATAAAAAATAAGTAAAAAACACGTTGATAATATCAAATATGGAGGCCCCAATAGTTTTAGTTCATCATGGTTAGGGACCCTATTGCTGAGATAATAACTTCTATACGAAATGCGGATATGGATCGAAAAAGGGTGGTTCGAATAGCATCTACTAATATTAACAAAAATATTGCTCAAATACTTTTGTGGTTGTTGGTATTTGGGATGTGGGTATGTGCTTATATGTTTAGATGGATTATGGGGTTTGAATATTTCTTGCCTTTGATGAGTATTATAAGGTAAAAAGTTTTTATCTTTTTGGTATTTGGGATGTATTGATGTGCTTAATGTTTAGTTGGATTATGGGGTTTGAATATTTCTTGCCTTTGATGAGTACTATAAGGTAAAAGGGTTCCCTTTTTTAGGTTTTTGGGATGTGGGTATGTGCCTATATGTTTATTTGGGTAATGGGGTTTGAGTATTTTTTTTGTTGTAGGAGCAAGGAATAGTACCAACTGACGAGTGGGATGCTTTTGTTGGCTGTCTTAGAACTCCTTTGCCTGCTGCATTCAGGATCAACTCCAGGTTTATGTGTATCCTTTCTTTGAGTTTTAGATTGTTTCTTGATATTTGTTTTGATGGAACTGTAATGACTCTAGTTGAAGTATAGTTTAATGAATGCTTGCTCTTTCCTTATCGTTGTCTTTCTGGCTTTAAAGTTAGTTGGATTTGGACAAGATTAGATTTTTGTGCTTCTTTTTTTTTGGGTTGAAAATAAGCTACGTGTGCTATGTGTTACAAAAGTTGACAGAAAAGTGCAGTTAAAGTCGTGAACTTCTGAGTATTTCCCTTACAAAGTTTTCACAAGCGCTAGTAGCACAATATGTAAAGCTTCATTTCATGTGCTTCTTATGGTACAATGGCTTTTACTACGTTCGACCCAAATTTGGCGGTGGATACCCCCTTATCACAATTGCATGAGCATGACAAAGGCACCTTGTTCAAAGTGGCTATGTGCTGCTATTAGCATATACCTATAATAACCTAATTTCATTGTTTCGTAGTATTATTTGAGGTGCTTCTTTTAGAAATTTTAAAGTTTGATTTTAAAAGAAAGTGCATTGCTCTAATATAAGGGGTTAAATATAGCAAATTCTCCTGCTTAGTTCCAAGTAGTATGTGAGATTGAAGGAACTTGTTTGTGGTAGCCTACTCCTATCAAAAGTTTTTAGAACTCTTAAGACCAAATCAACTTCTGCTAAAATTAAATTCTATTGAACTTCCCATTTTGTTAATGTTGCAGTAGCCAGTGCTATATGGATATTCGGACCAAGTTGGAGAATGATTTTATGAAAACTCTTCAGGCAGAGGTTGATCAGCTGAATTATGTTCACCTTTCATTATGAGCTCCTGCATTACATATGCAGTTTTTAGAGGATAATCACTCTATCGCTTACTGTTCCTATATTTTTATTTATGATTCAGGGCGTAGATGGGAGTGAGGTCGAGGGAATAAAACCATTACCTTGGTACCCAGAGAATCTTGCTTGGCAGTCTAATTTTTCACGCAACCAGTTGAGGAAAAACCAAATACTTGAGAGGTTAGTAATGCAGTGTCTGTTTATGTGTTATAACTTTCTGTAGACTCAATTGATAATTTTTTAGTGAGAGATCATTTAAAGGTATATGACAAAAAGTAGCAGGTGGCTTTCTCAAAATGATTGTTACAGGGTGCTAACTGCTACACTTTGCTCCCAGGGCTTTGGTCTAGTAGTAAGAGTGTAGTTTGTGATGTGTGGGTTAGGCGCGCGTCACAAATTTGAACCTTGCTTTAGACAATAGCCTGGTATTTAAGTGGAGAAGGGTTGAGGGGCGAGCCCATCATCCCCTGAGTTTTGAATCGTGCGCCAATGACCTTCGGGGATTTTCTCTGTTATAAGAAAAGTAAAGAGGTCAATATTTTGGGGCGGACTTTAACAGAAAGGAGATTGAACAAAGTAGGATGGAGGGAGTATAAATTTTTTCATTGTGACTTATCCCAAAGAAAAAAACTCACTGCTGACAGCGCATATGGGATCTTACATTACAATCGAGATAAATTTTTCTAATTATTTCATAGATATTGTTGAAGAAGAATGACATGCAAAATAATAAATTTTGCAATTTTATTTATTTATTTAATTATTTTTTCATCTAAAAAAATAAAGTTGCACATTTTGCTTTTATTTAGTGCACAGTGTGAACTATTTTGGAGAGGAAGTTAAGGAGAAAATTTGTATAGCTAAGATGACTATCAGAAATTAATGAATCCCGTTATTTCATCAGAATCTGTATGTAGTCAAGAAGCGATTGGACCTATTATTGAAGACAACTTGTGATTGTTTCTGCTCAACAATTTGAGGTCATGGCTATTAACTTTCAGGTTCCATGAGTTCTTGAAGCTACAAAATGAAATTGGAAACATTACAAGACAGGAGGCCGTTAGCATGGTTGGTCAAGTTGACCTTCATCTCTCTGTGTTTCCATGTTGGAGTATCCCATTGCGGATTTGTTTGATATATCTCCTTTATTGACTTTTACTTCTGACTGCTTTGATTCAGGTTCCTCCCCTGTTCTTGGATGTCCGTCCAGAACATTTTGCTCTTGACAGTAAGTAATTTGTATGGATTTTAGCTTATATTTGCATGTTATGTTCTATTTGGGTAGGTTATGCAAAATTTCACATATTCATTCTGAATGCTTTCTGTATCTTGACTATTCCTATAATCATGCAGTGTGTGCAGCTCCCGGTTCGAAAACATTTCAGTTGCTTGAGATGATACACCACTTGGCTGACCCAGGGACATTACCTAGTGGAATGGTCTTCTTCCTTCTTTAGCTCTATTTTCAAGTCATGGATTCCTATGCACTTTTGTGTTTGCCTTTTTCAAATGTCCAATCTTTCTTGCTTTCATGTGAACTCTCTGCACCTTTATAACATCGTCTTGGTTCTTTTTGGAATGACTCTTATATATAGGTCTTAGCAAATGATGTTGATGTCCAAAGGTGTAACCTTCTTATTCACCAAACAAAGAGAATGTCTACTGCCAACTTGATCGTCACAAACCATGAAGCGCAGAACTTCCCGAGCTGTCATTTAAATAGAAATTTTGCAAATGGTTCTGAGACACAAAAGAGGGAATTAGATATTAATCAGCTTCAATTTGATCGTGTCTTGTGCGATGTTCCATGTAGTGGTGATGGCACTTTGCGCAAGGCTCCTGACATATGGAGGAAATGGTAGTTATTATGTACTATTGTAGTCCGTATCACTCTCGTTTTACTGCATATGATGGTTTCTAATGCCCACCTTCTCCCTCCCTGTATGTTTGCATCATACAGGAATACTGGAAATGGTAATGGTCTGCACGGGCTACAGATTCAGATAGCAATGCGAGGTACCTTGCTCTCTCTCTCTCTCTCTCTCTCTCTCTCTCTCTCTCTCTTTGTTACACTTATTCAGAGACAAGTTTACGTCATTGTGCATTTCTCAATCTCTTCTCACAGTTTTTACTAATTAATAGTTTTCTGTATGTAATACTAATACCTTTTTGTTTGATATTATTTCTAGTACTTTTACATTTATTTCGTATATTGTTGGCCTGAAATGAATTTAAATAGAGAAACATGATATGTGAGGATTCATATAACTGACCGACCCCAATTTGTTTGGGACTGGTATAAGCCTTATACAATGCTATTTGATGTCTTTTTACTTTACTGAGCCACCTTCCATAGATATGTGATTGGTTAAAAACATATATTGCAGGATTGTCTTTGCTTAAAGTAGGTGGAAGGATGGTTTATTCAACTTGCTCGATGAATCCCATTGAGAATGAGGCCGCGGTTGCTGAGGTAACTCATTAGGAAGAATGCTGGCATATCAATTAGCATTTCATTGCTTTATATTACTTTTTTTATTCGACATTAACAACTATGCCTCAATCCCAAGCTAGATAGACTCTGTTCTATAAATCTCAGGATCCATGTCTTCATCAGTCCATCGAGGCCCTTCTCGATCCCAATGTTCAATAATTTAGGTTCTTCAACACTAGGAGCTCTCTACATGTTCTACTGGCACACTTTTTTTAACAAGATTAAAAGACTCAAAATTGGACCTGTAGTCGAGTATGGAGCATTCCAAAAGACGGGCAACCTGATACAATATAGTTCTTATAGAACCTATCATGAAAATACCCCTAGAGGGGGGTAAGGCTAAGCAGAGCTAAAGGGTTTCCCACAAGATACAAAATTTATCAAGTGACTGATCTTGGTTGACTGTGGTAGGGGTCTAGGGGAGACCTAGAAAAAAGGAACCTCTAATGGAGCTTTAGGTCCTTGCATTTGCTGCACTATTTTCGTTGTCGGATGCCATGCTGGATTTTCTTCCTTCCATTTCTATCCTATTCCACCTTCGGGTTATTTGAATTCATGTATTGCATGTATTGTTTTCATGTGGACTGTTGATATGAAGCAAATACACTTTCTGTTTGATTCGTTAGTATGATTATCTGTCTTGTTGCATCAGCTTCAATCCTTTAATAACCCTTTCTTGTCCATATCAGTTAATTTAAACTGGCAGGAGAAGTGCTTGGTATTGTTGACCGATATAAGGTTCAACTTTGAAATCTTGGTTTATTCTTTGCTTGGTGTACAATTTGAAAGTACTTTAAAACTTGCTTTCGCTCCTCCCAAGCTGTCTTTTGATATTGCAGGTCTTGCGGAGATGTGGGGGNGCGACGGTACCAGAGGGTCCCGACCGTTATAATCTGAGAGAGAACTTTGTGCTTGGAGATGCATTCTGCATCCACAGAATGATCTCCTTTTTCAGCTAATGTCACGTGATTGTGGGATTTTGTGCGTATCAAGCTCATGATGCTATTAGTCTATATCTGTAACACCTCAGACTTTAGACAAAGTCCCGCATCGGCAAAACACAAGAGAGATACTGGGTATATAAGTTAACAAGTCTTAGACCCTAGTGACACGTTTTAAACCCGTGAGGGCCTAGGTCCAGAGTGGACAATAATACTAGCGGGCTGAGCTGTTACAGATGGTATCAGAGCCACTCTTGTGTCAGCCATGCCGATGGTGGGTCAGAGTTCAACTGAGTTTAGGCAAATCCCGGTTAGGCGGGGCAAACCTCAGTGCTGAGTCTAGGCGAATCCCATGCGGTGGGGCAAACCTCAGCGAGGACGCTGAGTCCATAAGAGGGGGTGTATGTAACACCCCCCAGACTTTAGACAAAGCCCCACATCGGCAAAGCACAAGAGAGATGCTGAGTATATAAGTTAACAAGCCTTAGACCCTAGTGACGCGTTTTAAACCCGTGAGGGCCTAGGCCCAGAGCGGACAATATTACTAGCGGGCTGGGCTGTTACAATATCGGAAGGTGGGGCGACCTAAATGTTCTCACATAATAGTCTATGTGGTGAACAAGAGGAAATAAGTATGATTACAGCAACTTTGATATAATAAGGTTGGAATATATTCCCTTCTCTGATATGAAACTGAAATTGGTTCATGAGATTTTGGTTAAGGCTGAGTTTTCCTTTTGCTACTACTTTCTAATAGTTCGCATGCGTGGAGCTTTAACCATGTTGAGGGACGTAAGGATTGGGAATTTTGTGTTCACGAGGATGAGAATGCATTCCTTTTCCAAGTGTTTCGCACAGCTTTCTGTGTTATTGTTTTCTTCTGTGGGTGGCATATAAAATTTAATAGCCCTGCCATCCCAATTTTTTTGACGGTGTTTGACTGGGCATGGAGTTTAAGAAAAATACAAAGATGTTTGACACATTGACTGAATATGCATAAAATACCAAAAGTATCCTAGTACCGAGCTATTTGCTAGTGGACCCCGGAACAGGTCATGTCAATGTAACAGTGGAAATGTAAAAGTTACTAATTAGTTTATAAATATAGAAATATGTCAATCTTTTGGAAGGACAAAAAAAGTAAAGAGTGGCAAACAAATTGGGATGAAGCAAGTATTCCACTGTATGATTCTTGTACTGCTCTTAAGAATGATAGGAAGTGATCACATGAATTGCTTTTAGTCATCTGGACGGCTTTTTAATGATCTTGTCTGTATTTACAAGTTCTATTGATCTTTTAGTAGCGTGGCCGCCAGGAGCATGAACAAAGATTAAAATAATTTTTAAAGAGTTTTAATTCCCTATGCGTTAGACAGATTCCATTGCTTGTACTGCATGATTTTATCTGATGTTTGTTCATCTGTACGTGCAGGTTCGAGATAAAGGAATGTGGTATGCTTCTTACAAAGCTGTTCCGGATAATCGCAGAGGTGGTGTTGTTCCCGGGATGTTCCCATCTGGCAAAACCTATGCGGATGCATCTGAGCAAAATGATGATGCAACTAGAGCTCAATTGTCTGATAATGGAAATAATGATACTTCTGAAAATGACATGCCGGTGTTGGAGGATTCTGCAGCTGCAGCTACAATCTTGGATGATGAGGAAGTTTCAACTCTCCCGCTGGAACGTTGTATGAGGATAGTGCCGCATGATCAGAATAGTGGAGCCTTTTTTATTGCTGTATTTCACAAGCTTTCTCCTTTGCCAGGTGAGCTTAAAGTTTAAACACCCATAGTTTCATTAGTACATTAATCAGAAAATTGGATCATTTGATTTCTTTCTGTATTTACGTAACTGTTATGGTACATTTTTCCTTTTCTGGCAGCTTCAGCCTTTCAGCAGAAGAAACCTGTCTCTCTGCGGGAGAAGTTGAATTCCAGTAATATTCAAGCTGAAAGTTTAACAACTAAGGTTAAAGAAGATGAGAATGTTGAGGATGTTAAGCCAGTGGATTCTGTTGGTAATGAAGATGTGACTATGGATGATGCTGATATTCAAGCTGAAAGTTTAACAACCGAGGTTAAAGAAGATGTAAATGTTGCGGATGTTAAGCCAGTGGGTTCTGTTGGTAGCGAAGAGACGACTACAGTTGATGCTGGTAATGGGACAGATGAAACTATTTTGGATGCTGAGCCCAGTGAAACGTTGGAGAAAAAAGAGAAAGACGAAACTCAACCTTCTACTGATACAAGAGCTGAGCCTGAGACTAATAGAGGGAAAAGAAAATTACAAATGCAAGGCAAGTGGAGAGGGGTTGACCCGGTTATATTCTACAAAGAGGAGGCAGTTGTGGGTAAGATAAAGGATTTCTATGGTATCAAGGATTCTTTTCCATTTGAAGGACATCTAATTACTAGGAATAGCGATATGAACCATGTGAAGAGAGTTTATTATGTGTCGAAGTCTGTGAAGGAAGTTCTGCATCTCAATTTTCTAGCTGGTCAGCAGCTTAAAATTGCTTCAGTTGGGCTCAAGATGTTTGTAAGTCTATCCGAATTTGACACTTGATTTCTCTTTGTGGGATTTTTTCCCAAATTTGACACAACTTCTCTTCGTGGGGATTTTGTTACACTTGACACTTCTCTTCATAGGGTTAGTGTCATAATAGTAAAAATTGCACCAGCAATAATTATGTCACGATCCGAAACTAGTCCCCCTTTTTTATTTTTATTTTTCCCTTAAAAGGATAAAGATTAAGGAGCGAGAAGAGAGAGGGTCTTTCTTTTCTCATATCTTCTTTCCTATTGCACCTTTTAGATGACCTTTTTGCTTTGAATCTTTCCTTATTGCAGGAGCGCCAAACATCAAAAGATGGTGCATCTGCACCATGTATATTCCGCATATCATCTGAAGCGTTGCCTTTAATGCTGCCATACTTAACAAAACAAATATTATACGCATCTCCTGCGGACTTCAAGCATCTTTTGCAGTACAAGAGCATTAAACTTGGTGATTTTGTTGATGCTGGATTTGGTGAAAAAGCCTCACAGCTGTTGATGGGTTGTTGTGTCGTGGTTCTGAACAAAGGTTAGATGTGATATAGTGTTTGGCTGTCACCTTACTTGCAAATACTGAAATCATTATTTGCATGTTAAAGTTTGGCCGTCAGTTTTGCAAATACCAAATTTCAGTGTTTGAAATACTGGTGAAATGTTGAAAAACTTGTTTGTGAAATTCATGTCCGACACAACTTTAACTTCCAAATACTCTCTATAAATGTCAACTTCGAATACTCTTTTTTCAACTTCAACCAGATGTTAACGTCTATGTATGATGCTTCATTTCCTAGCAAAAAATCCTCATTGCTTTGCTTCTGATTAAGTTTGGTTGATCGTTTCTTGTAGACAATAAGACGCTGTCAGAAGCTCAAGCGGATCCATCAACTATCGCTATAGGATGCTGGAGAGGCAGGTCTAATATCTCAGTGATGGTCACTGCACTTGATTGCCAAGAGCTGCTGGAGAGGATGTCAATGGGTGTGGAGGAGGAAACAGATTCGTCCTTGCCGGAAACCAAGACATTAACTGCAGAGGCAGATGAAATAGTTGAAGCAGAGGAAGGTGAAGTTAAAGAAGACACAAAACAACCATGAGAGACTAAAACTAACAATTTTGGAAACTGTTATAGGTGTACCATGATTGTGAATTTCTTAATTGTTTGTTTGTAGGTTGCTTCAGTTTATTCAATATATCTACAACAAAAATTTTAAGATGAAGATAATTTGTATACTTTAACAGTATGTTGAAGAATTGAGTATCATATTCTGCAGCAAATTTCTAGTTAGTACAAATAGCAGCATATGATATTGGGAAAAAGAGGGCTATAAAATGCAAACATTTATGGGTCGATGGATTCTTTTGATTTTTGAATTTTGTCCACAAATCAAGCGACATTGGAAAGATTAGAAATAGTACTACAAAGTAAAGAAACAGGGCCATAAAAATGCAAACAATTACCGTTCCAAGGCTTTGATTTAATGGTAAAAATGTAGCACGTGATATATGAATTAGAAGTGCGTTATGGTTTCAACCTTACCACAGCCAAAATATCGACGATCTTATACGTGTTCCCAGCGATTATTCGAATAAGGCGAGAGAAATGAGACAACCAATTATTAAATTGTTTGGTATAGTTTAAGATCATAGTTTGAAAATGTAAAAATTAGAAAATATTATTTTGAATAAAGTTAGTTCATATTCTTTTGAACTGTTCAAATCCAGCGAAAAAGTTGATCATGAAGCTAAGGAACCACAAAATATAATTAAGATTTAACTAACATTTTCACACCTGTGCTAGGCACTCTAATTTATTTTTCCGATACGACAACGACGACCCAGTAAAATCCCACAAGTGAGGTCTGAGTAGAGTAGTGTGTACGCATACCTTACCTCTACCCGAGGGGTAGAGAAGTTGTTTCTGATAGACCCTCCGCTCAAGAAGACGAAAAGAAACAATATATCAGTACCATCAACAAAAACCATAGAAATAATAACATCACACGAACCACTAAATAGACGGAAAGCAAAAACAATAACTCTAATTTATTTTTTCGGTGATTACATAAATTACTTTTTAAATGACCTGATAGCGTAAAAAATCATTCTTTAGACTTTCAATGTACAAAAGTTAATGTCAATATAATATAACTAGTAAAAAGCTTGTGTAATTAGTTGTTGTAACCTTCCATTAACTCACAATAACCATTTCCTTTCATTAACATTACAAAAAATAACAATATAAATATATAACCAAAAAAGACTCAAGAATCAATATGAGATGACTTTGAAATCTAACAAACCCAAGAAATTGACACCCAAAAAAATGAAAGAACAATCCCAAATTGTAATATTTCAAGATCTACAACAAGCTTTCTTTTCTGGGATAACCTGTGCAGGACCAGGCACAAGAATTTTCTTTCCAGTTAAAGATGCAGTATTACCATTTGCTTGATCATCACCTGCAGCAAGATTCTTCTTATTCACAATATTGAAGATCTCTGTCAAAACAGTAAAGAAAGCGTCCTCGACATTTGTGGCTTCCATTGCAGAAGTCTCTAAGAAGAATAATCCCTCTTTCTGCGCGAATTCTTTAGCATCCTCGGTTGGAACAGCTCGTTGATCTTCAAGATCGGTTTTGTTTCCAATCAGCATAATCACAATGTTCTTGTCAGCATGCGCACGCAACTCTTCAAGCCAGCGGGGTATGTGATCAAAAGTTTGGCGTTTTGTTATGTCGTAAACCAGCAGAGCTCCAACAGCTCCCCTGTAGTACGCACTCGTGACAGCTCTATATCTGATCATGACAACAAAACAATGACTTGAGTTACATGAAAGTTGTTAAAGACTCTGAAACTTCTATTATATCCCGTCCGACAGCAATCATAGGCAATCAAAACCTTGAGGCAAAATGGATAACTCTGGCCATCTAAATTTTATATGCCTAAGAAAGAGCTAATTCCAAGCATCATACTAATAGATCAAAAGGAATTAGTATTAGCAGCGATCATAACTCCAGTAAGTCATAAAGCATGTATTTGCATACTAAGGCAACAACAACAACAAAGCCGTGTAATCCCACATAGTGCGGCCTGGGGAGGGTAGTGTGTACGCACACCTTAATCTTGTGGAGATAGAGAAGCTGTTTCCCATAGACCCTCCGCTCAGTGAAGCATAAGCACCATTTGCATACTAAGGCAGTTCGATAATTTCAGATTTTTCTTCCAAATAAAAACAAGATCTAGTCCAACGCAAGCATATTTTGCACATGATAAGTGAGAACCCAAAAGTACCATATTAAGGCAAGATTCAAGTTAGCATGGAAGTATTCTAAAATGTTATTTATGATCCCCTCGAAGATAGCACGCTTTTCTATGAAGTAAGTTAACTCATTAAAAGGCATCAAGCAGACACAAAGGTTACAAAAGAGAGATTAGGTTCCCTACCATAGCACCTTATCCAATACTAGGGAACATTAGAAAAACCTGATCTAAAAGAGATACTTAGAATGTCTTAGTTAAATCAAGGACCATAAAATAGCTGACAAAGAAAATTGGACATGACCAACCCCCACCGCTACCTCCAAAGAATAAAAGGAAAGAAAGAAACGTCTGATAGCCAAGAGCTAACGTAACTGGAAGCGAATAATTTAACAAATTGCTGCTCGCAGGGATTTAGTTTAGTGGTAAGAGCGCAAGGGTGCATGTGCCGGTTAGGCGCACACCATGGGTTCGGACCCTGCCGTAGCCAAAAGCTAGATATTTAATGGAGAAGAATAGAGGGGCAGACCCATTGTCAACCGAATTTCGAATCATGCACAAGTCTGCACTCGAGGATTTCTCGGTAATAAAAAAATTAACACGAACTTCTAGGAACCAGTATTTCAGCTTAAGCAAAGTAATAGTCATCACTAATTTCTCCTCTAATACATGATTGTTTGATTGATTAGGAAGAAATTGCAGCCCTGCGGTGCAATGATAGTGACTATCAAATTGGGGCATTCTTACAGTAAGAGGCACAATTCTGATAAGACATCTGTATGGGATATTGCAACATTTTACAGTCTGTAGTGGTATACTACAGTTTTATCAAACCACTCTTAATACAAAAGAAGGGGGGGGGGGGGAGGAGCAAACAAATTGTAATAACTAGTTAAGAAGGAAAAGAAAAACTAACAACCTGAATCTTTGAATAAATATGCACGTGTTTATTTACTAGTTCCCTAATATAAAAAGGGCTAATCTCTGTGTGGCACAATATGAGTTCCATTTACAACTTCACCAATATCAAGCATTTCCTCAGGTGATTTTAGAAAGACTAAACAGTCGATAAAACTGATAGCAAGAGCAAAGCTCACTTCACAGTTTTGTAGAATAGCATTAAATGAAAGACGGAGTATCTTAAAGGCATCTGAGAACTAGATTTAATACAAATGTGCACCAAGTTGCGAGTCAATGTTTCTTCAAAAAACATTATTATATGTGAGGCTTGAATCTGACCTGATTCACCTCTTTTAATAATCAAGTTAAGTTCAAGTTTCTAAACTAAATTTGTACATTATCCAAGATCCAAAGTCAGCGTCAAGTCTCAAATCTCAAATGAACATCTCTCTCCACATACCAGACTAACGTGCCAACAACAACAACCCAGTTGAATCCCACAAGTGAGGTCTGGGGAGGGTAGTGTGTACGCAGACCTTACCCCTACCCTTGGAAGGTAAAGAGGTTGTTTCCGATAGACCATCAGGTCAAGAACCAGACTAACGTGCCAAATTACCAAAATCGTAAATTTAAGCATGAAGAATACAGCTAGCACAGTATTGTTTTACTAGTTGGACTACTAAAAACTTTTCCTTTTCACAGAGATCTACATAAGTGAAATTCTCAAAACTCCAAAATTCAAGAATGTACAGTTCAAACCCAAATGAATAATAAAACATAGCAAATATGAAAATCTAGTCTGCACATCACAGCTCTGAATAACTTAAAATTAAAGCATTACTTACTAAATCTCTTTATAAGATTCCAGCAGCTTCAAACACAGAGCAAAAGAACAAGAGGGAGATCAAAGTGAACAAGACAGCATTAAATAACAACAAAAACACAATTCAGTAAGCTTCTCTGCTTAAAAATCCCACAAAAGGTACACCCTCTCTTGCATTTTATATGGCATTACATTTGGAGGACTTAAAACAACTTTTTTCCATTGACAGCCATTTTCTCATTCATTTTTAACCATCAAAGCTGTTACTTTTTCTTTTATAACCGTGGTATCCGCGCAAGCTTTTGCGCACCTCGACTAATTCCACGGGATACCTACCACCTCACACCAGCAACAGGTAACTCTACTAATTCCACGGGATACCTGCCACCTCCCACCAGCAACAAGTAACTCTACTAATTCCACGGGATACCTCCCACCTCCCACCTCCCACCAACAAGTAACTCTATCCACGAAGGCTTGGATACAACAAGGATCCAGTTAAATCCCACTAGTGGAGTCATGGAGAGGGTAGTGTGTACGCAGACCTTACACCTACATCAAAGGAACAGAGAGGCTATTTCCGATAGACCCTCGGCTTAAGACCACCAAGGCTAGTGATTTTTTTTTCTGCCTCCGCTCGTATTTGAACCCGGGACCTCATGGTTCTCACCCACTTCATTGACTATTAGGCCAATCATCAAAGTGGTTACTTAACATTACCATTTATGTAATCAGTCAGTTCAAAAACAATGAAAAAGCAGAGAAAGCAAACAGTGATAACTACACAGCAACAAACTTAAAACAAAACAAGAAGAACTAAAAAAGATTCAATTTTTCAGCTATTATATAACTAAAAGAGCAAAATCCTATTAGTACCTTTCTTGACCAGCAGTGTCCCAGATCTGAGCTTTAACAGACTTATGTTGAATAACAAGAGTCCTTGTCTGAAACTCAACACCAATAGTAGCTTTAGAATCAAGACTAAACTCATTCCTAGCAAAACGGGCCAGTATTTGAGACTTTCCTACTGCTGAATCACCTATTAATACCACCTTAAAAACATAGTCTATTTTTTGACTTGCATCACCATAGCCACCCCCACTTGCCATTTCTTTAGGCCTGAAAAATTCTGTTTTTTTAATCAGCAGAAAAATGGAAGAAGATGATGAGCAGAGACCAAAAGGGAGAGAGAGAGGGAACAAATGTTGGTTGTGGTTGTCTTAACTAGATCTTGCTGTCACTTGTAGTAGTGGTGCGTGTGAATGAAATCTGCAATTATTATCATTATTTTAGGTACTACTATTTGACTAGTACCCCATTTAGTTTTTAATAACCCTCTATGTATGCCAACAACTGCTGCACTAGAGTGTTAATTACTCTTTCGTCTTTAACCAGATGTTTCGGGTTCGAGTATGGAGTGTCTTTGTTAGGAAGCATTATACCCTCAATGTGGGACTTCCCGACGCGAATTCGGATTTAATCAGGTCCCAATATAAATACCGAACATCGAGTGGGAAATCAAAAAAAAAAACTCTCTATATCTTAATTTATGTAGCGGAGGTCGGTTGTTGAAAGTTAAATTTCTTAATTTTGACCGTAAATTTAAACATAAATTTTTAAAAAATACTATAAATCACAAAAATTAACTATTTTAAAATATCTAAAAAATATATAAAAAAAAATTGTCAAAAAACTTGGTTAACTCTCAAAATCGGAAAATTTTATTTTGTGTCTCATACAACTGACACTAGTTGTATGAGATAACTTTTTTGTCTCACAGTTTTATGGACCCAAATTTATGTGGACCTAGAAGTATAAGATTGGGGTCCACAAATTTGTGAAATAAAAATGAGTTTCATACAACTAGTATCAGTTGTATGAGACACAAATAAAACTTCCCCTCAAAATCCAACATCACAAGTAGGGAGAAAGGGCCCATTTGGCCATAAAAAAATCACTATTTTGATTTTTTTTACTTTTTTTTTTAAAATCAGTATTTGGCATTCTTAATTTTCACTTGAAGATGAATTTTAGAATTATTTGAAAATTTGAAAAACTCCAAAAAGTTATTTTTTAAAATTTTCACTTCAAATTACTCAAAATTCAAAAATAGTCCAAAATTATATTCATGTTCAAACACAACTCTAATTTTTAGATACCATTTTCACTTGAATTCTTTTCTCCTTTTCTTTGGGACTCTACAATTCTTATGTCCAAATGCTCACTAAATGTTTTGAGCTTCGAAAATGAAATCACCTTCATTAAGAACGATTTTACTAGAAAGTGAGACTTTTCGATGCGGTTCTAATATTTAGTATACTTAAATATCAAACATCAAATAGAAAACAACAAAAACTAATGACTTGATTTAAAAATCATAGATATTTACTAGACTTAAAAATTGTCACAAAATTATACAATTATCATAACACTTCTACATAATTTGATGTATATTCTCGTGGTATTAAAATCTTGGATTTATTTCTCAACTGGTAAACAAGTTTCCGATTTTTCTACAAAATTAAGTAAGCTAATCTTTAACACTTTAAATTTGATTCAAGATTTTATGTGATTTAATACTTATTTGACTAACTACCAGTAAGTTAAGTGGTTTAAAGTAACAATAATTAATTTAATTACCTTTTTTGGTATACAAAGCCATAGCATCGCTTCATCAGCTAGCTATCTCATTACAACTCTATCACCTATGTAATACAAATCTATACACCCAAACAAAAATATAACTATGCACTAATCTCTGAATGCCAGTAGTAGCTCTAATGTTGCATATGTATGCTACTTTACGTGCAATAGCATTCCAATCTCTAGCTCTTTTCTCAAAGATCCTCAGATTTCTCTCAATCGATATGGCATGTGATATTTTTGTGTATACCATTCGGAATATCTTTGCTCTTTTGGACTTGCCTTTAGCATGATGTAGACTCCAGTTAAGGTGCTGCTCCCAGGAATGTATAGTTTTATATTCATGTCGCATCCATTGCATGATCTTTCTCCATAGTTTCTTGGTATATTCACAATTAACATACAAATGCTCCTTGTTTTCCTCATGATTATGGCATAATGCATATTGCATATCCACTGTCATTTCCCATTTTTGCAGTCTATCTGTAGTGAGAAGTCTTCCATATAATAACATCCACATGGTAAATTGTGCTTTAGGGCTCGCAATGTTATGAAATATTAAACATTTCCACATCACCTGAGGTCTTTGTCCCAGTAGCTGCAGATATATGTGCCTAATTATACTAGTTTCATGGCTGTTCCTCTGTACCTAACTCCAATCTGCTCTAGCATTGAAGATTTTTCTGATCATCCAGTAGGCTTGTTTAGGAGCTGGTATTTGTAAAAATTGCTGGTGTTTGATGTAATATGAATGAGTCCATTTAATCCACATTCTATCTTGCTTAGCTTCCACATCCCAACATACTTTGGCGATAGCTGCTCTATTCCACAAGTGAATGTTCACTAGATTTAGACCTCCACAAGACTTAGGGGAACACATCTTGTCCCAGGATATCAAGGCTTTTCTTAGTGATGGTGTTGGTGGCAGACTAAATATATGCAGTATGCATCAATGATCTTCGGCACCTTAACAGGTAATGGTAGTAGCTGATCCCAGTATGCTTAGATGCCAAAGATCACACTTTGTACTAGCTGCACTCTTCCTGCATAGGATAGTTTCTTAGTTGTCCATGAAGTTATTCTTGCCACTATTCTTTGGTTGATAATGATATGCCTAAGTATTTGAAAGGAACCCCCTTGTCCATATCCCAGATGTTGTAGAATTTTGCTTCTTTCAGCAGTAGATATCTCTCCAAATACACAGAACTCTTTACCATATTAGCTTGCAAACCTGATGCTTGTGAAAATTGATTAAAGCTTCTATGCATGGCAGCCACTGATGCTAAGTCACCTCTTGCAAAGAGCAGCAGATCATCAACAAAGCTTAAATGTGTGATGCCCATCCTAGCACATTTTGGATGATATTTGAAGTCTTTATCTTCCTTCAGTCCATTTAAACTTCTGCTTAGGTACTCCGTTACAATGGCAAATAGGAACAGGGATATATGATGCCCTTGTCTAAGTCCTTTCTTTGCATCAAAAGGAACAATGGTCTCTCAATTGAGCAATATGGTATAGTTGACTGTCTTGACACATTCGACAATCCACCCAATAAATTATGTAGGGAATCCCAAATTATCCATTAACTATTCCAAAAAGATCCACTCCACTGAGTCATAGGACTTTTGTAGATCAATCTTAATCATACAACTAACAGAGGTGTGCTTCCTTGTATAAGACTTGACCAATTCATGTGCAAGAATAATGTTATCTACAATTCTTCTCTCAGGGATGAAACCTGCCTAATTTGCACTAATGATAGTTGCAATAATCTTCTATAATCTTGTTGCTATCACCTTAGAGATGAGTTTGTAGAGTAGAGTGCAACAATAAATAGGTCTGAAATCCTTCACAGTGGCAGGTTTATCAACTTTAGGTATCAGTGTGATAGTAGTACAATTTATTGCCTTGTGCATTCTACCAGAGGTAAAAAATTCTTTACCAGCTTCACAGACCTCCTCCTTGATAATTTGCCAGGCTTTCTTGAAGAAGTAAGCATTGAAACCATCCATACCCGGTGCCTTATCATCTCCAATATTTTGTAATCCTTCATATATCTATTGATTATGACTTCTGCACATAATTGAATTCTTTGCTGCTGGGAGAGTATAGGCCCTTACTTCATGATCTCCCTGTTGATGGCAGGCAGTGTTTGGGAAGCAAATCCCATTAGGAATTTGTATAACTCAATGACTTCATACTTGATCTTCTCAACATCACTTAAATTCTGTCCATTTAGAGATATGAGTTCTTTAATCTGCTTCTTCTGATTCCTTTTCTTCAACACAACAGAGAAATATTTGGTATTTGAATCCCCAAGTTTAATCCACTTAGCTCTTTATTTTTGCTTTAAAACACTTTTCTATATAAGAGACCATTTCTCCAACTGGTGGAGGATAGCTTTCTCTTAGTCCAGTAGGTAGTCATTGTACTGTGTTGCTATTTTCTCCTGAATATCTTGAAGATTCATCCGAGACCTGTCAATTTTAGCAGTTATAGTTTTGAATTCCTCATTGTTTAAAGCCTTGAGTCTAGGATTTAAAGCTTTCAGTTTCAACCAAATACTCTTCATTCTTCAATTTGTTACATTTTGTTCCCATACTTCCTGCACTAATTGTAGAAAATTATATGGTCTGCCCAGACATTAGGAATCAGAAAGGGATTTTACCAGGCCTAGTAACCGTGGAGATTGATAGCAACGTAGGTGAATGATCAGATATTTGTGGTAGATCATATTCAGTCTGCACATGCCCTCATTACATTATCCATTTAAAATTTCCAAAAGACTCTATCAATCCTGCTACTGATTATGTCTGTTCCACATTGCTTGTTTTACCAGGTATAGTAGTCTCCTTTCCATATCAATTCATTTAGTTGTACAGCTTGAATGCAGTCTGAGAAATCATGAGTTTCTGCATATGTGATAGGGTTGCCCATCACTCTGTCTTGAGGATATAACACAACATTAAAATATCCACATACTATCCAAGGTGTGGCTATGTTTGCAGACAGATGATGCATGTCTATCCACAGTGATCTCCTTTGTTCAATTGTATTATATCCATAGACTACAGTCGTTAAGAAGTCTATTCTCCCTAAGTTATCCTTCAACTAGCAATGTAAGAATTGTGCACCAGCTTTTATTAAAGTCACATTATACCACCTTGGATCTCATATCACCCACAGCCTACCATTCTGAGCATATTGGTAATTGTTAAACAAATCCCAGTCAGGTACAATAACTTTGATCACTCTCTTGAAATTTTTCTCTTTCACTCTAGTTTCCATCAAGCCAGCTAATTTAGTATTTTTTGTTCTGATGTAGTTATGCAACTCCTTCTGCTTATATCTCTTATTAACTCCCCTCACATTTTAGAATAGCCAATTAATCAGCATGTTAAATGGCCTCTTTCCTGTCAAGGAGTAATTGCTGTAAATCTTCAGTTCTACATAGTAGTACATCAAAAGGATTCTTCACACTAATTGCAGATAGCACATGAAAGTTTGTTAAGTTAAATCCAGGGCTACTTTCCACTTGCTTCCTCGATGACATTCTTTGGGTATAGGAGCATTAGTTGGACTACTATTGGTGCTTTGTCTTTGTATAGTTGCTGATC